TTGAATATCATCCCCTCTGTGAAGCTTTTCCTGTTTCCCTTTTTTTGGAAACCATCTCAGCCTCCTCTGAACTCACATAGCTTTTTGTTTGGAATCTCTCTTATGAATGTATCACCACCTACTTTAAATCGTGTTTATTTTTGTACAATAAATGAGATAATATATGTAAAATGTTTGAAAAACTTAAAGTACTCTATAAGTGACATATAATAAGTTATTATAAACTCTTTAAGGGGTGGAACAATGTCTTATTCATCCTTGGGCAGGTGCAATGTTTTATTTCTTTTTTGTATCTCTTTTCCAGTCATTTCATATCCCTCCAGCATGGTGACATTCTCAGGAAGGACTCGGTAAATTTTTTGTTGAATGGATGAGAAGCATTCACTGAATACTGCCGTCAATTTTTGCTGCCCTATTTCTCTCCAACTCATCCCTGACCAAGAGTCTCCCCTGCACTATAGCTGACAGGTGATCAAACTTTTACTTGAAAACTAGAGCAGGGTGGAAATCTACTGTAAATGTGACTTTAGTCGTACCTTGATCACCTAACATGCATTCACCCACATGGGAAATTCCAGGACCTAGCTTCTGGGAGAAAATATTCTGCATTCTCCTACCACTTGGGTAGGAACAGCCTCTTTCCATTGGCTATGTAGCCAGAACAGGTTTTATTTTTAAAAACATCAGGCTAGGACAGCCTCTGTCTGTGTCTCTCTTTCTCTCTGTCTGTCTCTCTGTCTCTGTTTCTCTCTGTCTCTCTCTCATCCAAAGGGGGTGAAGATCCTATTCACCCACAACAGGGGCACTATTAATTGAAACTTACAGGCCCTTTAGGCTTTGTAGCCCAGAGAAATGGGCTTAGGTTTTTTGTCTCATCTGTTTCATTTATACTTTTCAGTTCTAGGCACAGGTGTTGAAGTCTTCAGACCTGGACTCAAACCATGGCAACCTTGGAAACAGTATTATTCCAGTCCAGTTATTGCTGCCAGCCCAGAAGGAAAGCCCTGAGAAGACAGAGTTCCCGGGACTGGAGCCCAAGGGAGGCTTTGGACTTGGGACTTTATGGAACTGTGCCATGTAAGAAACTGAGCTAAACTATGAACCCTAATCCCCTTCCTTTCCTCAGAACCTGAGGTGGGACAAGGGGGGTATATGCCCCAGAACCGAGAGGAAAAATGTTTGTATGTTTGTTCTGGCTATACCTTTGAAGTAAATATTCCTTTGTACAAGCTAATCTGACTGTTAAATGGAACTGGACCCCTAAAATTGAAGGAACACAGTCAGTAAAGGCTGGAGTCAGTGGTGGAGAGACTGGACATCCCCTTAAAACCCCTTAAAGGTACCAGAGAATCCTGGGGAAGGAAGGAGATGTAACCAAGTGTAACCACTGTTACACTACCATCTCCCCATTGCTAAGAATTTTTTTCTTTATATCTGCCTCTCTCAACTTCTATCACTGCTTCTAATTCTGCCTTTTGGGACTAAGTGGAACCAGTCTCCTCCTCTCTCCACAAGACAACCTGAAGAAGTTGCTGCCTTCACTTTCTCATCATTCATTCCCTCTTTCACCTCCCCCCCTTCCCCGGAATTTGGCTTCCGTTCCCATAAGACTATTGAAACCACTGGCTCATAAGTCACCAATGACTTCCTGTTTGCCAAGTCCAAGGGCCTTTTCTCAGTTCTCATTATTTTTAGACCTTACTTCAGAAACTTCAGACATTGTTGACCGCCGCTGTCTCCTTAAAACTTTCTCTTCCCTGGGCTCCTGTGACACTATCCTGGTTGATCAGCTACCCAGTCTGACCTCTTTTCTGTGTCCAAGATCTTCTTATTTTCCCACTGTCGTGTATTGCATGTATAAATCTTTGAATTAACATATCCTGCTTCCCCAAGTGGGCTGCAAACTTTTTGGGGGAAGGAATTCCATCTGCATGTTCCCCAAAGCACTTATCCATTGACATACGCCGTGATACTAAAGCCAGCTCAAACCAGCAGAGCCAATAGTAAATTTTCAGTGAGAGCATTTATACCTCAGAAATTTTCATACAGGGCATGGATTTATTGTTTTATTGATTGTCTCTAGACTTAAGAAAGTGATGGATAAAATATTAACTATGCAGATTAAACTTAAAATCTACATACACTTTTTTAAAGTCAGTTATTAAACATTTTATCAGCACACCACTGGGCATATGTTTAATAATGCAATCAAATATTTGTTAAGTTTTGTGTGTGTGTGTGTGTGTGTGTGTGTGTGTGTGTGTGTGTGTGTGT